CTGGCATCATGCAAAATCTGTTACAGAGGGCTTGGGACTAGCAGTGACTTCAGGGTATGTGCAGGTGAATATGGGGATGCCACTTATGCCATGACGATTTTTTGCCTTTTCTTTTATATACCTTTCATGTATCCTCAGTGCTCTTTACATGCATACTTGTAATTCTTTAAATCTGATAACTTTACATAGTCCTGGTTTTCTGTTAGGCCAGAAAACCAAACATCCTAGAGGCCTTGCAATTGGAGTTCAGAAAGCCCTTTGCTATGCTGAGAAACCAAGGTCGTCTCTAAAATACATCCTGTAAACTAGGATTAAGCCCATCCAGGAAGAAATTCTTCAGGATGGGATGATATCATGCTATTCATTCAAGCCTCTCCTTAGGGCACCTTTATTGGATATGCTAATTTGCCAAGTCTATAAAATTACATACACAATCTATCAGAAGTGTACGTTTCGGCATGCTCCATCTTGGCGAAGTGTTGCACCATAAAAGTCTTTATTAAATAATGAGATAAAAACCCTTTATCCCTTAACCACATCTGGCTCTCAATTTTAAGACCAAAAAAAAAAAAAGGCACCACCACAGCTCAGGAAAGAAGATAGATATGATATTTATTCCTGGACTTTATGCCTGAAGAAATGGAACCCCCTTTGCAACTGCTGATTGTCAGTAAATTATGGACATAGCAGCATAGCATTTCCATTGCGCATCCTAGTGGTGTCCAGCATTCAAAGTAAGTACTTCTAATAAAAGTTTAAACTGATAATAAGTATTTTATAGTATATTTGGTTGTGCTTAGCACAGTATAGCTCTAAGGCCAAGTACAGTTTCCATGAGAGGGAAAAAAATCTGCTAAAAATTCAGGTCCACTCTTGTCTGGTGAGATGCTTCTATTCCACTGCAAAATCTCCAAATGGGACTCACTAAGCAAAGCCATCTGATATTCCTAATTCCTACAGTTTTACTTGTGCAGTTCCAGTGCTTTGGACATTTCAAGGTGGATTGTGAGACACCATAAGCAGGCCTGGGAACATGAAAGAATTCAGTTCATAAGACTGTAGAAATGTAGAAATACCATTTCCTACCTAGAATCCAGCTATAAGAATCCCAAGAGCCTTGTGTTTTCTGGACCGTTATTGTCTAGAAAACCAGGAATCCTTGGCACAGAAAGTAAAACAAAAAGTAAGAAGAAATCAAGTTATTTGGGGCTTTCCTCATAAATTAGAAAGCAGCAAGACTGTATTTCTCTTAAAAGCTTTATTTACATATGCTGAACACAGCCAGTAAGCAACAGTAACATGTTGAACCATTACTGAGCAAAAGAAGGCAGAAAAACAGCAGAAAAGTGTAGTGGAAGGCCCTGGCATGTACCACTGTACACATTTGATATTTGAGTATGTATGCATCACAGTTCCATATGCGTCTACTGTTGAGCAAGCAACCAATATATGAGTTTTGTACCACTGTACTGTTTTAGTTCCAAGTGTGAGCCTGAACCACCAAACCTGCAAAGAGCAACTGTGGCATGTAGTGGGTTGCCCAGCCCTGGTAATGACCTGTCCAAGCAAAGTAAAGCATTCCTCAAATAGATGAAGCCTGTTAGAAATAACACTGAAACAAGTTAAAAACACAGACTGAGGGGGCTTTCAGTAGTTTACAAAAGTGTGAATAATTTTGAAGGCATTAATGGCAATCATGTGTCTCCTAATGTAACAGTTTTAACACTCAGGAGTTCTGCTCTAGGATGTTACTGTTCAATTCAAAGTTCAGTGACCACTGTTCAGTGGTCAAACTTCTGGTCTGTTCCAGACAACCTTTTTACAGTGGCAGAAAAAGGAACTGCATGAGGCCACACAAACATTTCTTCCCTATTTCAGAGGATTTTATGACTTTCAGACACAAAATTTATCATAGTATTATTATATGTTGGGAAAATTAATCAGTTTTTCTGTTTATCACTGTGGTTTATCCAATGGCCTAATTAGCTGTGAGAACTGGGTCTCTAATCCCTTGTCTGGCTCTGACCTTGAGTGACTTTGGGCAAAAAAAAATTATTTCTCAGCTTGCTTTTATCCATCAGGAAGATACTAATGTTGAATTTTTCTCCTCATGGCTTTAAAGGAAGTCTCACTTATGAATTCTTCTGGTGAACGGGAGAGAAAGAGTAAGAAAGCCAATTATAGCAGGCTCCTTCCTTAGAGGCAGAAAGATTCATCCACAACAAAACCTTATAAACCTAACTAAAATATTTATCTCTCCTTCTGCCTGTGGAATAACAGCATGTGGGTTTGATAAACAGTATTGTTTAAAACCAGGACAGTATAGGTTATTTATCACGATAATGCTAAGAAAATAATATTTTCTACTGGTGGCCATGACCTTGAAAAGGACATTCAAATTCTGTTATGTACCTCTTTGTACATACAGATAGAGTTGCCACGTACTAATCACTGAGAGCCTAGTTATCTTACATTTGCAGTATTTGAAGAGACAATCAGCAAAACTCCTTCTGAAGGATATAAAACAGGTGCTGCATATAATGCTGCATGTACAGGCATATTCTAACACAATTCCAAAAGAACCAAGACTTTCATCTATATTGTGTCTTTGGGTATAGATACAGACCTTAAGGCAAGAAAACAGGAAATAACAGGATTACAGTTTTAATTTTGGACTTCAAGTCTACAAAGATGGAGAATGCACCACAGAAGAGGCACCATGTGCACACAAGGGATATCTGAGTAACACTTAACAGAGGAAAGTTTATTGAACTGGTTTTTAACTGAAGTGCGGAGAAACAAAATTATCAGATCAAGGACTTCTAAGATTAAGCACAGAATCTTCCAGGTCCCACTGAAATACTTGGCATGCAGTCTGTATTTTGTCAGACGCATGGGGAGAAGCTCATGTGGGAGGTCACTCTTTTGTAGTAGGATAAAACCAAGCGCAGCCAACACAGCATTGTTGTGCTCAGAGCGAAGAAAGTTATCTTCAGGAAAAGTCACAGTCTCTCACAGAAATTAAGTATCTCTAGCCAGCCCAGTTACTAGCTTGCTCTTCTAGGAACTGAAAGAGAGCAACTGGTGGTCTGTATTTTGCATCAGGGCGAAACAATTGCCATTTGCATTTAAAATTGTTGGTGACAAAATAAAGTAGTGCAAAACATCTTACTCACTGCTCCAGTCTGTGCACTGTTGCTGTGAAATGTTGGCAGGATAGGCACAGCTTTGTCACCAGAACTAAACTGGTGGCAAACACTCTGAGACATGCTTTCATAGTTTGGTAGTGAATATTATGACAGCTGAAAGGTGCCCCTCAGGTTCTTGTCATCTGTGGTGTACTTCTTGCAACCTTTTTGCATGGTTATTGACTGTCTGCCTGCTCTCATAAGAAGTCATTGGCTCCCATCAAAATGGTTCTCAAAATGATCTCCATTTTCCCCTACAGCTTATCTAACTCACAGGTATTGTTTGCTGTCACTGAAAATGCCCACAACACGCTGGAACTTTAGACTTTTAGACCCAGGTTATCGTCTCAGTAGGCACTGTTTATGAAACTGCATGCAGCTAAAGGAAAGCTGGAAGTGAACCAGGTGGTGAGAAACCAGGAACACCTTTGTACCAGGAACAGAGTGCACATGCATGTAAGGTATCAAGGCTGTAAAAGGCATGGCAGTGAAGCATGGGAGTGAGGTGGTGCCAGGAATGAGGTCGGCACTTCCTCCTTTCAACACCTTCTGGTTCACTTTTTCCTTTCCCAGCACCTTGATACTTAAGCTGCACTGGTGTGGGCCCTCATGGCCTTTGAAACAGGCTGAGAAGATATTTCACCAACATAAATGCTTAAGAGTTGTTGGGCTGAGACAGCCATATGGGAGCTGTGGTGTAAGAAAGTAGAGAAGATAGAGGTGTTGGATTGGCAAAGGGAAAAGATGAAGGAATGCCACTGAGCACGGTAGATGTAAAACTTGGAGAAAATTAAAGCAGGTGGGAGAAGGTAAAAAAGATGTGTTGCATCCATGCTATTATCATGGATGGAATTTAGGGAAAGGCCAGGAAGCCACAGTAATAAAGGCAGAAACAAAATGCATTATATATGTGTCCTGTGCATCTGAACCAGGGAAGAAACATGACCCTGTTGCAGGTCTTTCACTCATTTCAAGTTTGGCCTGCTTCCATGAAGTGGCAGGAAACCAACAATGACAGGACAAAAAGTCCTCGTGGTGTGGACAAACTCCACTTGTCTGGAGTACAGGGCCTTGAGGAGAAGCCACAGGAGAAAGTGGCTGAGGTCCTTTGATCTGTTCTTCCTGGACAAGACTGAAGGGAGACCTCATTGCAGTCTACAACTTCCTCGAGGGGAAGAGGAGGGGCAGACACTGATCTCTTTATCTGTGACGACCAGTGACAAGAGCCGAAGGCACAGCATGAAGTTTTGTCAGAGGAGGTTAGGCTGGACATTAAAGAGAGGTCCTTCACCCAGAGAGTGGCTGGGCACTGGAGCAGGCTCTTCAGGAAAGTGATCACCGCACTAAGCCTGAAGGAATTCAAGAAGCATTGGAAAACACTCTCAGGCATATGGTTTCATTTATGGGCTTGGTCTTATTTGATTTCACGACCTCTGTGACTCTCTTCCAAGTCAACCTATTCTGTGGTTCTGTGTATTCTGTGAGTTGGACAACACACGGCACACCGTAGGCACCCTCTTTAGAGAGCTGGAGTTTAACTGAAGAACGCTTCGAGCTGTCCTCTGCAGGCCTGACACAGGCACAACACGGGGAAAAAAAAAAAAAAAACCAAAAAAAAAAAAACAAAACAAAAGAAAGAAAAAAAAAAAAAAAAACCACGAAAAACCACGAAAAACCACGAAGACTCCAGCCCTGCGCCTGGAGTCACAGCACACGAAATTGACAGAATGAGTAACGCGATCAGTGACGGAACGCCGCCTCAGGGCATGCGCCCAGCTGTTCCCGGCCGCTCTTTCTGCGCTCCTTTTACATTAAAAAAGCTGATTAATGCGCGTCCTTCGGGTCAGGCCGGTGCCGGGTTCCGTTACCTCGGCCGCTGCCTCGCCCCGGGCGGAGCCCGCCCTGGCCCGGCAGCCCGCGCGGGAGGGCCGCCGCCCTGCCGGGGAGTTTCCTCTTCCTCCGGCAGCGCGGCCGGGGCGGGAGGAGGAAGGGGAAGGGGCCGGGGCCGGGGCCGGGAAGGCTCCAGCGCGGCCGCCGCCGTCGCTGGTGCGGCAGGGGCGGAGCGGCGCGGGAGGCGGCGCCAGCGGCCGGCGGCGCCCGGAGTCACCGTGTCACGGCGCCCGGGAAGCCGTTGCCACCGGATCCGCCCCCCGCAGGGCGAGCGAGGAGGCAGGAGGAGGAGAAGGAGGAGGAGGGAGGCCGGCTGCTCGCCGCCTCTTGTGTTTTCGCCCCCTTCCCGGCCCAGCCCCGGCCCCTCTCCTCTCGCACCGGGGCGGCGGTGGGGGGCGAGGCCGCAGCGGCGCCCGAGCTGCCCGCGGGAGCCCCGGGACGGGCCTGGGCCGCCGTCTCTGGACTAGGATGTCCCGACATGAAGGTGAGCGGCGCGGGGCGCCCAGGCCGCTCCCGGCGGCGGCGGCGGGGCCCGGCCCGGCGGCCTTGGGGGCCGATCATCATCATGGCGCCGCCGGGAGCGGGGCCCGGGGCCCGGCGGCGGAAGGAAGGCGAGGCCCGGGCGGGCGGGCCGCGCTCTGCAGTGTCATAGCGGGGGAGGCCGGTACGGCCCGTTCGCCGCGCGGCCTGCGCCGGGCGGGGCCGGGGCCGCAGGTACGGCCGGCGGCGGCGGAGCCGAGCCGCCCCGCTCCTCCGCCCGTCCTTCGGGCGGAGCGAGGCGCGGCGCCCCCGGCGGGCCCGGCCGCCGTGGGTGGGCGGTGGCGCGGGGCGGCCCTGCCGACGTGTCGGCCGCCGCGGCGGGTCCCGCCGGGCTCCGCGGCCCCCTGGGTGCTCGGGCCCGGGGCAGGAGTGTGCGGGCAGCCTGCCGCTGGGCCTGGCGAGGGCTGGCTGTGTGCTGGCGGCCCCGGGATCTGCCCGTGATCCCTCGGTTGTGCCTTGCGGCCGAGGAGGCCGGTGCTGGTGTGGTAGTGGCATGTTTTGAGGCCGCTGGAGAAGCGTGTTCTCTGCGTGCTGCTTTGCCGCTGGTCTCCTTGTGTTTACCGCCGTGCGGGAGTTCAGTGGGTAGTTAGTCAGGAGGAGAAGGGTAGAGGAAGAGGTAGAAGCTAAGAAAGGAATTTTTGCAGGAAGAAGATGGGAGTATGCAACCAAGAAATAGAGAAAGTTGCTCAGTTTTTCCGCGTTTGTTTACCAGTGGGTAAAGTGTTTGAGCTAGTATTTTATAAAACCAGGGTTTATCATCTGGAAAGGCAACTTTATCCATTGTTAGGAACTTAATTCAGTATTATCTTTATTTACTCTAATTCATAATTTCTCCGTTCCGTCTTAAAACATTTTGACAGAAACATTATAGGAGAATTCGGTATTTGTGGCTCATACTGCTGGCTTCTAGTTAGTAGCTTGATTTTAGGCAGTGTGGTATATGCGATGGGTTTTTGGTGTGTGTCGCAGTATTTTGCAGACTTCTCGTTTGTGCAAGTATGTGTGCATCTCTGATCAAAGAATTGTGTTCCCTGAATCTACTAAATTTTGTTGTTTACTTGTTAAAATTTAAGCTTAGTAAGACTGCTCCTATTTTTCTCCTTCCTCCCTCTGCCTTCATGTTTTCCCAGGAGGGTGGAGATGGATTTTTTTTATGGTTAAACATGCAGTTTGTACTGAAATGAAAGAATCATTGATCACAAAGTTGCTATTGGTGGTGGTGTAGTAGGATTTTGCAGTCTGCAAGTATGTGCTGCCATGCATGTACCAAAATGTTCTCTTTAATGCACAGTAGTGGAATACAGGCTTTTTTAACTTGAATAGGTTAAATTTATGCAAGCTTTATCGTAGTGATAAGTGATATCATTTGTTGTTCTTTAGTGACTTTCAGTGACAAGTGCATGGACTTAAGAAGTGGTGATAATGTGTTAAAAACACATTCCAGCCCTGTCTTTTTATTAAAATAGAATTTGAAAATAGGTTTTCTTGTGTGTTTCTTATGGAAACTATAGCATGAATTTTCCTTTCAGTTGTTAGATGTTTTTTAGCAGGGAAAATTACATTTCCTGACTTTGATATTTGTTGGTATTTTTAAAAGGAGTGACTGTTAATGAAATTGGGCTTAATATTCTCTTTCCAAAGCAGATTCATTTAGACACACCTAGTTAGAAAAAAGATAATTACCTAATGGGTAAGTGAGTGTGAGTTTTGGTAGTTTTGGATCCTGGACATAGACTTCTCAGGTGTGTGGCTGAACAAACAATGCATTCCTAAAACCATAACAACACTGTGACATTACAAATGACATCTACCACTGTGTCCTTGTGATTTTATTTTAAAAGCTAGTCTGTTTCTTAATTTCTCAATTATTCTTCTCTTCACACTTCAGATACGTTCTTTTAGGCAACTTTAGTTAGTTTAATAGCTAATAAACTATAGTTTATTCTGCAGGGGTAGAATAACACATATTAGTATGGGAGGGATGGCTTTATGGAGAAGAGGTTTGGGGGCTTGATTTTGGTAGAACTCTGGAAATCCATAGAAACTGTATGCTCAGAAGGAAAGGTAATTCTTGCTTCAGAACTGTGCAAGGTTACAGCTGACAGTTTTTGATCCATTATGACTAGTTTGGGGATGGCTGTCTTGGGAGAATATGGTATAAGGAAAAAGCAAGCTTTAATCACATTTATGTTAATATTTTTCCTGTGTTTTCATGTATTTTCTTTAAAATGGTCTGTACAAAAAGTTACAAACAAGATTTATTGATATTTCTTGACAGAATTGGGATGCTGTACCAATTTTATGGTGGAAAAGTATCTGGATGTGTAAATGCTGGAGTAGTTAGAATTCTAAAGGCTTGGGACTTGAAATAGGCTGTAAAGCATCTGATGGAGATTTACTGTCCATTGGGCTTTCTTGACTGCTTCTTTGGCATAATAAATTGTACGAAACAACTGTTGGGGTATTTTGGTTAGTTGGCTTTGTTGTTGTTTTTTTAAAAGTGAGATTTTGTTATCCTTCACAGGAAGTTTCACCACAGCCTTCCTTTTCAGTGTGCTTTGATTTCACACATGAGGTCCAGACTCCCGTTTCTCCCAAATCCAGGAAAATAGACACCAACTAGAATTTGAATTAGTGTTGCTTTTTTGGATGTGTTTATTCAATGTTCAAGAGACTTCCTTGGTAATGCTATCAAGAGTTAAGTACTTATCTCTCAGTATTGCTAGGCTTTTCCAATTTTTCAAAACCATTTTTGTTCTGTGATTTGGTGTTAAGAGGCTAGCTTTTGGTTTTGTAGAATGCAACATGAGGTCGTTCCCTGGTCTTGGTATTCATGCTGTTCCCTTTATAGGAGCAATATGCTGTGTTTCTCTGGGTTAGCCCCTCTGTGGAGGAATATATGGTGGTGTAATATTTGGCAGCCTACAAGGAACAGGTAGGTAATTTTATTTTTTTTTTTATGCTCTGGAAAGTTTATGAGAAGGTATTTTGCTTATTACAGGTTATGTCTTTTTGTAAACATGTGGCAATGATTCTCTTATTTGGCAGTAGGTACCACCCAGGACAGCAGAAAAATCAAGAATTGCAACTTCCAGGAATATCATTACAAGACCATTTTTGCAACTTGTTTTGTGGAAGTAGGTCGCAACAGCATTAACTGGCCTGGGTTCAAATTCCCTCCAGCTGGCATCTCCAGAGGGCTTCCAGTTCCATATCACCTGCATCACTTAGTTCTCCATCTCTCATGCTCTGTGCCTCTCTCCCAGACCCAGTTCCATCCTTTTCTGCTTGTTCTCACTAAAGGAGGTGGTCTTTAAGCTTCAAAGAGTTGTCAGCAATGCAGGTGCTGGGTTTTTTTGCAGGTCCCCATTTGTCAGTATTTCTTACAAATCAGTAAAGGTCTGCAGGTAATCCTAGTCCCACATGAAGTAAATTGTGGATGGTTGGTGGTAACACAGTAGGAAGGGAGAGCAGTGACTATCAGGACCATGTGTCCTTTCCAAATATTCTCCTCTAGCTTTAAGATCCTTTTAGCAGAGGGAGCCAGTGTTTCTGTGCTCCTTTTCTTTGTGTGTATACATAAATGTGTTTTGTAGAGATGCTGAAATCAAGTACTTATTTGTAGTGGAGAAGTAAATAAGTTAATTTTTAAAAAGAAATGCATGTAATTTCATCTTTGAAATTAATGAAATCATAGTTAGAGTTGAATATATATCAACCACTTGAAAACCATTAGTGTAAGGGTAATGTTAGATCCAGTCCTCTAGCTGTGGAGTGAAAAGATTGAGAGTCTGAGTCGATGATGTTTTCTATAAGGTCCCAACACAAAACATATAACTTTTTGAAAACAAGAATAGCAAGAGTAATTTCTGCCCTTTGTAATGATGCAATAGCTGTGTCATACTTGAGCTGCAGAAGGGTACTACAAACTCCAGTGCTCAGCCAGTTGATGCATAACTTAATACTTCATATGGTGTCAGTTATGAAGGTGCCATGCAAAATGCAGAATCACTATATTTTTGCATGTAAAACTTCTAATTCACTTAACAAGACTATATCTTTTTTGTACAAAGTACTCAAGATTCATTGGTTAAGTGTGGCATGTAGTAATGAAATGTGCCTCCGTGAGACCAGTTACAACTTGCTGCCTTCCCGTGCTTACTTTGCTTGCATCTTTTCCAAACAAGGAGTTTGCTGTATTTCACAATACAGAATAAGCATAAATTCTTTCATATATTGCTGCCACTGAGACCTCTTTTGTAGAACATAAATCCAGATTAAGTTGTATATATAATTGTGAGTTTTTTTGAATTTGAACTAATATTTGAGTCTGCGAAAGAATTTTGTAGCATTTTGTGCTTTGTTAGTTTTACTCTATGGTAGCATTGTTAATGTATCTAATTACAGATGTAGTGCAGTATCTGAAAATGAATTAGTGTGACAATTTGACTAGCAAGAACCATATTTAGGCACAAAAAATGCTAACATTAAAAGTAAACAGCTGCAAATGTGATTGGAAATATTTGAACACAATCATTTGCTTTTTCATTACATTTGTTTGACTCCAGTAGGAAAGTGAATTATCACTTAATGATAAAATGAGCTGGAAACATAATTCATATTTTAAGTGGTAAGATACTTATTGGCTTTATGGAAGCTAGGTTTTAATAAAAGGATTCTGGCTCTGGTTTAGGAAACCATGTGAACCAAGCTGCTGCTGTTTCTACAGAGTCTGAACAAGGTCCTCCAAAAATTTCTGTAAAAGGAGACAGTTTTTTCTCTCAGGTCTTTATAAAAAATAATGACACCATCATGGGAAAAGGGAGAAAAAGATCAGATATAAACTACCAGTGTTGAAAGGCTGATAGCCTATATCTTAAAACAGGAAAATTGGAACAGAACTATGATGCTTTTAACATTATTGGACGAGGGTGAAGAGAGAAA